GAGGGGAGGCGGTGGGTGTTTCTGGGTGGGGGGGGGGGAGGGGGGGGGATATATGTTTGGCAGATTGCAGGAGTGCAAAGTTATGAAGGTCCGCTTTAATTATCTTGCAAAATCAAGCTGCAAAAATGTCACAGACTAGTGTAAAGTGTATAAAACCTCAAATAATTTCTGTGCATATGTATTGTAAATCTGTGATTTACATTATAGCAGTGGTAAAGGGCACTACATATAGTAACCAATCAGATTTCAAATTGCTATAGTCTAATGAATCCTCATTTGGTTGCTATGGAGTATTGTACTTTCTGTAATGTATCGCCTCACTGTTTCTTTCACTTCCTTCCTGAAACAGCATATATTAACCCCTTCATGACTGAGCTAGTTTTCCGTTTCTGTTCATAAATGACTGACACACATATATATTGTTTTTTAGAGGACAGATAGGGCTATATAATTATATCAAACATGTGTACCTAACGCCTCACTTAGTTTGATTACAATATTTAAAAAAAATGAGGAAAAAAACCTAGAAGAAAACACTTTTTTCACAAGTTTTGAGTATTATTTTTTTTTTAGATTTTTTTTTATAATATAGTATAAAAAATATATTTATCATTTTTATTTTCCTAATTTTGTTTTATACTTTATTTTTTTTTCAACTTTTGTAAAAAAAAAAGGAAAAAAATGACTGCTTGATAAATTAACTTTTTAAATGTTTGGCTATTATTAGGCTGCTCCAAACTTAGGAACAGCTAATTATAACCTTAGAGACTGATCCTGACAGCGTATCAGATTCAGATCTCACTAAAGGTCTTTGATCGTGCTCAGACGATCAGAAGTGATACATTTCGGGCAAAGAGATACACTGTATCTCATGTATCTAAGTGCCTGAAATGTATTATAAACATCGGGCTATCAAGCTGTCAAAACGAATTGCTACCTCTGCTATTTTCAGCTGTCAAATACCGGATCGCTATTTAGCACTCCCGTATTTGCATGTAACAGCTTCTTTCTTTCATTAATAAAAGAAAGAAGCTTTTACAAAAGCTTAACTATTTCATTAATGAATGCCTCAATACTGAGGCATTCATTAATGACTGGTAACCGCTGACAATCAGTGGTTACCGGCATTACAGAGCCTTAAATAACTCATCACGTACAGTGTACGTGGCCAGTCATATAGGCACTTTGTGACGGGACGTACAGTGTTCGTCTCCCATCACGAAGGGGCTAAAGTTGGCATATGTGATATTGTTGTTGGTCTAATTTTACAGGCTTCGATTCTGTTGCCTTTACAGATCTCTACATGTTCTCTTTTACCTGTAGTGTTTTGTATGTAGAGCCCCATAAACCCTAATTGGAATAAAGGCAATTGTGTTACCTTGGGAAAACCATTGGTTTTAATGTAATGTTCCTGAGGCCTGTGATGCTGAGTGAAGGACAGAAATGAGCTGAGATGCCTTTGGTTTGTACAGATACACTGTTTTTCCTCAATGAAAACTCCTAGCCAACCAGCAGTTCTATTTTCCTCCTCTGTCTATTGTGTTGATAAATACCTCCTTTGTGTATATGCTGCATACTGAATAATTGACCTTGAACTGCAGTGAGGCTTGTGTGATCTTAAATCTGTAATTTGAGCAGCAATACATGTCAGGCAGTGACGTGCCGTGCCTTTTGTGCTGGGTGAGGCATTCCCCAGCCCCGCCCCTGTCCCATTAAAGCTCCACCCCTGACCCAGCCAAAAGCTCCGCCCCAGCTTGGTAACCAAGCTATGTGCTTAGGAGACGGGGAGCAGCCTCCCTGCCCCTCACTTGCTCGTCACTGGTTAGGCATCGAGATCGATGTCCTCACTGTTTTCTTTTTCTTTTTTTTGATTGGACAGCTTGGACCAATGGCGCTTTGCCATTGGTCCAAAACACCCCCAGACTTCACGCCTTTAACACAGAGTAAAGGCTGTGACAGCGCTTGCCTCACTATGTTAGGTTACACAAGCAGTAGGGAAGCCCGCTGCTGTGTAACAAAACTACCTGCCAAAAGCCGGATGCAGCGCCGCCTGTAATTAACAGGCAACGCTCCGTCCATGACAGGTTACACAGTGGGGAGGCTTTCCCTGCCGTGTAACCTGGAACAAGCCAATCTGAATGGAGAAAAGGCTGTCGGCTTCAGACTTGAAGCTGACACATTTTTTCTTCATAATACTAGGTGAGGCTCTGCCTCACCTCCCTGTCCTGATCGCACGTCCCTGTTAGGTGGCTTAGAGTTGATTTTTTTTTTTATGTGTTCACTGCATTTGTTATTGCATAATTTAGGATTATACCAGGACCCTAGTAATTTTGGTAGTTAAGGTGTATCTAAACCCAAAAACAAAAATGTATTATATTGCAGCCTACAAGTCCTAGGATGTAGTGGCTGCATTAGTTTTTATTTTTCAAACTAAGTACATTTACTGCAAGTACTTGTTAATCTTGATAGAATTCCCGTGTCCTTGTAACTTCCTGTGTAGTGAACTAAGATCTTAAACAATGTTATCAACTGCCCAAAGGAATTAGGGATGAGGAGGGGGAGTGTTTGTAGTCCAAATCAGGATAGCAGCCTAGGGTGACAACGCAGCTTCTCCATAGATACAGAACGTTGAGTGAGCGTTGTGACTCTAGGACAGGAAGTGTGTGACTTGCAGGATCACCAGGTAAAGATAAGGGAAAAACTAGCTTTGCCACCACATCTAAGGACTCATAAGCTACATTATATTACATTTTGTTTTGCGGGTTACATACACTTTAATCCCAAAGCCTGCTGTAACACATACGATTACAAATGTATGCATTCAAATGTTTACAAGCTCTTGTTTAGTCCATGCTGCAGGAGATCTGTGGCCTTTATATATAATTGACCATCTTTTTCTTTTTTTTTTTTGCTCCCTATTTTTTTCAGGCTCTGGGTGGACTGGTCATTGCTGCTGTTATTAAATATGCTGACAACATCCTGAAAGGCTTTGCCACATCTCTCTCAATCATACTTTCAACACTAATATCCTACTTTTGGCTGCAGGACTTTGTGCCCACAAGGTATGTTCACATTTTTCTAACTCCCATGGGTCCAATGATCAGCCATCCCACTGCATTATAAAAAAAGAGAAAGAAAAAAGAAAGCTCTGCATGTTTATAAAGCACAGCTGTGTTTTACAGATGTGCATTGAACTCCAATTGTTTTGGAACTCTGAAGAAATTGCAGCACAATTTAAAATGAAGGGGGGGAAAGCTGGCAGCAGGAAAACCTGGTCACATGAGCTGCCAAAGTCATGTGACCGGCCTCTTATCCAGTCACATAGTCCGCTCAGCTTTCAGCATGAGAACTCGATGGGGCACTGTGATGTTGCATAATACTGCAGTGTCCATCAGATGGCATTATCCGGTCTCCATATTGTACAGGGACTTTAGAATTCAATCAGATTTGTTGAGCTTTATGTATGTATTGTAAGGAAACCGTGAGTCGTGAGAGAAATACATTATGCGCTATGGATGCAGGTAGTGCAGTGAATTTGCAGTATGCGAAATCAGTGACTCAGCTATCCTTGATTCAGTTGGTGATGCTCTAAGCAGAATTGCTCCTTTTGCACATTTTTTTATTTACGTCAATATTTGTTTGCAGATCCGCAGAAATGTGCAGTTCGGGAATCCAAGCAATTATTTAGGATTTGCCAATCTTTGGCTGGTTCAATCTGCATGCTTTCTATTCATGGGAATAGAAACATTTGCAGTTGCACTTATTATTTATTTTCTATTTAATACAGGCATTACTAGTCAGAATGTTGTAAGCGTATTGAAGCCGTGGGACCTTTCATTAACATCCAGGCAACTAACATTTTCAGAAGGCTGTCAGCCATAACTGTCTGTGTCACAACAGACATCCTTTAATTGTATTCAATATTATAATTAGGGATCTGGTTTGTCGCTATCGAGTACAAGTACTTATATTTAGGTACTCGCCGATACTGAGTACCGGTATTTCCGGTAGCATTGAGCCGGCTTCCAGGGCAATCAGGAAGCCGGGAAGCATGTCAATACCCATGTCAATACCCGCTGCCCGGCTTCTTGATTGTCCGGGAAGTCGCCTCCATGCTGTTTGACCGGTTCGATGTTGATTAGCCGGGAAGCTGGCTTCCCAACCAATCAGCATTGAGGCGGCTTCCCAGCCAATCAGGATGCGGGTCACTACCCACGGACAGGCTTCCTGATTGGCCGGGAAGCCACCTCCCCCTTGTGGCACTACTAGTTAGAGGAAATCTCCCTCTGACCGGTAGTTCCGGTATGGGGATAAGTATCGGAGCATTTGGCCGTACGATTACTCGCCCAAATACTCAGTATCCGCACAGATACCGATACTAGTATTTGTATCGGTGCATCCCTAATTATAAGAATCATGGAATACATTGGACAGGCTCCATTTCTGACTACTTTACCATTATAAATACTGTTCTGATGTCACCTTCATGCACAGTGCAGCTAAATAGACATTGTTTCATCGTATTTTCAGGTCTGCAAAAGCATCCGTGTCCCACGGATTACAACAGCTTTTGTTATCTTTATTGTCCACTTCAAGACCACATTGTTTTATACTTTGCTAACTGAAGAGTCTCTTATATTCTTTCCTGACTCGTATAAGATTTTTAACTCCAGGCAGATTAAAACAACAAATACTGAATGTATTTGTAGTCATATTTATATTTTATTGTACTTATTGTATTTATATTTTATTAATGTATTTCTTGAAAAAACAAAATATACTGTATATTAAATGCAAGTACAGTAAGCGCATGAATTTGACTTTATATCAACCTCCCCCTAATCCTCTAGACAGCAGTACTCTGCCTGGCGAGTGAAGGACTGCACTTTAGGCCAGTTAGGTGTTCTGCATGTTGTCTGGGAACATCCTCGCAGGAGGAGGCCCCTCAGGGTTCCCGCCTTAGGGGAGACACAATGGCCATCTATGTGACATTAAGGGTTCCTAATAAATTGTTGAAACTGACTTATTGGCATGCTGGGGACTTCTTACTCTGTGATCTGTACCTTGCGTGGCGCCATCCTTCGTGGTAATTTGAAGTACCCCTAATTGTAGCAGAGAAAAATTCGGTATTCAGTTCAGCTTCATCTTCAAAATGCAGGGATGTCAAAAGTGTCTACTTTGTAAAGGGTGTTACACAGTTTTATGAGTTTTAGTATCTATAATGTATATTTTTATTTTCATGCTGTATTTGCTATGAGGATTAGCTGCCACAAGTCATATCACACCAATTTTGCATGAATTATTTGGTGGAAAAGATGAATTATTTGGAACCATTACAAGAGAACTATGGGGTAAGTGTTTTTCCCCATAGTTTTCTTAAGGGTCACAGGAGGACATATACTAGCGTCCTCCCGTCTCCCAAAGCTCAGTATAGCGCGAGCTACAGCTCACAGTATACTGAGACCGCCACAACTGGGACGAATCCTGACAATTATGTCGAGATCCACCCAGCTGCGTGAGTGACAGCCAATCTAGAGGCAGAGCCAGCTGTACCCGCCCCCCCTGTCCGTTTCTCCAGTCAGCGCTAGCGGATCGGAGCGTGGGGGGGGGGGGCCCGCGATGACAGTCACCGCCCTCTGCAGGGAGAAGATCGGGAAATGAGCGATAGACGGTATGTGATCGCTCATTTCCCGATCTATAGCGCCAACGTGTGACAGTTTCAGTGTCACACATCGGCTCGAACGATGAGGATGAGTGATTTTCACTCACCTCATAGTTCTCCTTTAAATGTTTAGGGAATCGGTTTAGTCAGTTTGTTACACGTGTTGCAAATGATGGTCATAATCTTTTCAAAATACATTATGTGTTTTAGCAGTAGTGTTTACAGGCTTTAATTTAATTTGTTTTTCAAATGTTCTTATCAGCTAAGGTGATAAAACATTCTTTTTTATTGAATAAAAGACAATGTTTTGTTTTTTCTTTTCTTACAGTGTTTTCTTCTTTGGAGCAGTGTTTGTGATTTCAGCTACGTTTTTATATGGATATGACCCCAAGCCATCTGTAAACCCAATTAAAGCATGAAGTGCACGATACAGCACACTTTTGTGTTAGAGCGCCCCCTAGCAGCTGCAGAAGGGCACTACTGGTCACTGCTGGATGAGGAGTTCAAACTAAGAGATATGCTGCTGAGAACTAAGACTGCAGGACAAAACATTGCTGCTCTGTCTTGTGAAGGACCTTACAGTATATTATTTTATATAAGAGAGACTCTATATATTTTGTTAATACTTGAAGTTCGAGGCGTTGATTTCGGGGTTTTTTTTTTCAGAATTGATGCACCTCTCTCCTGATCAGGTCTATAAAATTGCATTATCTTCAATGGGGAATATTTATCTGTGCAAATGGATTTTTAATGTGGTGGTATTTGACCTAATATACCCACTTATTTCTGACCTCAGTTAATTTAAAGATGCAGCTTGAACTAAGAGCTGGATAATCCTCATTACAATTTTATACTGAAGAGAAAAATAATGAATAACATAGGATGTGTTTTGTATATAATGGAATGTTTCACTGTGTTTGGAGATGGGAATGTTTCAAATTGTATAAAGTAAAACAAGGGAAATTAAATACATTTTACCAGTTTTGCATTCTCATGTGTTCATTTTTAGTACAGTCAGTCTGGCTATGGTGGTGTGAGCCAAGATAGACTTAAAAAACGTTTTTTTAACATCCTATAACGTGTTTAGTGGTAGTGCCTCTTAAACACCTAAGGTATGAACACATCTTAAATTCCTGGACAAATTCAAAGAGGTTAATTTTCCATCCCTCAAACCAAATGATGCTGTTTAGAACCATTTAATCTAGTCCTTTTTATGTCTCAATGGCAAACTATGCATATAGAATCCATTGTTTTATAGCACATATAAAGCCTAGTTATACAGTCAATCTTTCAGCTCATAATACAGCTTTTTAAATGCTTGCCAGCACTCTTCAGCAAACAATATGGAAGCCAAGGTCCTGATAAGCACAAAATATCAGTCAGGCTGTGGTGAGTTGAAAAAACAGAAGGAATTAATGACTACAAAAACTCAAAAACTAAAAGACACTAACCTCTTGAGTCCCTGCCACCATTTTATAATTGCACTGGGATAGCAGCTTTTTGCTCAGAGTTGTTTTAAAATGCCAACTGGAAAAAGCAGCTCCGGTAGGTCCTGTTGGAGGTGCAGGCTGGAACCACCAGGTGTCTGTAACAGCTGGTATCCAGCACTAAGCCTAGGAGGTGAAAACCCATAGGCTTCCAGTGCTTTTACAGCAATCTCGATAAGATGATCCATTTATTTTCATGCTGTATTTGCTATGAGGATTAGCTGCCACAAGTCATATCACACCAATTTTGCATGAATTATTTGGTGGAAAAGATGAATTATTTGGAACCATTACAAGAGAACTATGGGGTAAGTGTTTTTCCCCATAGTTTTCTTAAGGGTCACAGGAGGACATATACTAGCGTCCTCCCGTCTCCCAAAGCTCAGTATAGCGCGAGCTACAGCTCACAGTATACTGAGACCGCCACAACTGGGACGAATCCTGACAATTATGTCGAGATCCACCCAGCTGCGTGAGTGACAGCCAATCTAGAGGCAGAGCCAGCTGT